AAAAGATGGCGACGAGTCCGGTATCTTGTCAAGCAGTTTTGGTCGCGTTGGTGTAAGGAGTTTCTTAATACTTTGCAAGAAAGGCAGAAGTGGAGCAACCCTCGTAGAAACATGCGTGTAGGCGACACTGTACTCATCAAGGATGATAAGTAACGCTCCTCGAAAAGTTTGGCGAAAGGCTCGCGTTGACGAAGTGTACACGGATGAAGATGGTTTGGTGCGAAAGGTTAAGCTTGTTGTGGCAGATCTTTTGTTGAACGAACGCGGAAAACGAAGTCGATTTGCGACCATTTTGGAACGTCCTATTCAGAAGCTAGTTGTTAAAGTCGAAGACACGGAGAACGTTGAAGAGTGAAGATTCCCCGACAAGGAGCCAACTGTGAACTATTGAGTTAACTACATTATCGTTGTTGTTATTATATTCAGTTATGTTAGTGGTAAATTATTGTAATAGACAACTTAAGGGAGCCATGTAACTGCGAACCCATCCTCGGTCCCAGGGCCTCACGGCTGACACTGCGTTGCCGGAGGCCCTGGCGAAAACCAAAACGAGAAGTGATTTGATTGGTCGCATGAAAACAATGGAATGCGGAAATTGAACACGAACTTTTACTAATAAATATGGCTGACTATAGGAGTAGATAGGAGTGTATTAACTCTTCAAAGGAGACGAAGAGTCGTTTTGGTCGTTGAAATCTGCTGTCTATCAATGGAAATTTTATTTTTAATATAAAAAATGTTGGATGTTGTGTCACAATGTATTAAAAAGCTGCACAAAATTGGACATTGGATTATTTAAAGATTGAAATCGCCGAAGCCGAAGGGACATTTTATATACGAGATTTAATTATATACAGAGTATAAACAAAGACAGGCGAAAGGCTATGCGAGAGACTGTACCGTTAATTGTACAAATCTGCGAAAATTGTGAGTGATGTCTTGCATCTTTCAATTACAAATGAGAAAATCCTGATCGTGAATGAGTGTCTGTGTGGTTGTTCAATGCAAGAGGGGTCCATGCCATACTGCCCATACATAATATTATATTAAATATTACTATATTTGAACATAATATTATATTAAATATTACTATATTTGAACAAAACAATAATTTTACTGTTTGAAAGATTATAGCCCCCTGTTGGGAAGCTGATATTCCTTGTCGGGAAACCTGATATTCCTTGTCGGGGAACTCCTGGAGCATCCGGCCTCCACACACAAGCACACTGGTACCCACACACCTCCATTTCCTACACCACTGCAATATTAAAGCACAGCATGGATGCACCATAAAGCTGTTATTTATTTTTTACAGTATCTTTATTAACACACCAAATTTTCATAGAGGAAATTGTATGAATAAATCATTTATATCAATGACACAAATTGTTTATTTTGTTCATGTAATTTCTTTCTTTCTCTGAGTTGATGAAATTTCTTTCTTTCTCTGAGTTGATGCAACTTCTTTCTCTGAGTTGATGAAGAAACAAACTTCCCGACATACCAATCCTTTCATAGCAAGGCCTGAAATCCTTCCTAAAGTAGTAGTACAATGTTTATAAATTAAAACAATCTTTAGCCAAAAATTTTAGGCCAATCATAATTTAACAGCAACATGGATAATTTTATGATTGAAAATGGCTGGCAAGAAAATACATATTTCAAGTCATATATATGTATTAAACTGAATATGATACTAGCTAGGTAGTTGTATGTCCTACAAACAATCGTTATCTGGGGATACCAAGATTAAGGTGGGGCGAGGGTGGGTGGGTGGGATGCACATAATATTTCAGGTTTTTATGCTCATTGTCTCTGTCTAAATGCCGTATTTTACATGTGCCAAATCTAATGTGAATTTACATGGTTTGACTCAAATAATAAAGTTTGACTCAAATAATAAAGTTTGACATTTTGATTTAAATGTTGAATTTATGTACATACCAGTACGTAGTAAACATATGTAACTTATACATTTGTCCAAAGTGGCAAAGTAATTACTTTGCAATTATACCCACTCTCCCCTTGATGAGCAAAATTGTCTGACATTAGACAGTAAGATAGTAAAGTACAATAGATAATCTGATTAACCCATTGAGCAGTAGTACTCTCACATTGACCAGTACACTCAATCATCTGGCATGTTAAGCTGAGTAAAATAATTTGGTAGCACTTAAATGGTTGAACAAACTTTTCTAGACTTGGCACATATAAAATGCAGCGTTTAGACCAGACGTATTAAACAGAATATATGTTGTCTGTATGTGTACAGTCTTGCAGATAACCATTAATATAGCAAAGAAAGAATATTGAGAAACAACCAAATATATCAGTATCACTCACTCACCATTCACTAATAAGATTGGGCTTCGTCCACAACAATCGCTTTTAAATTGTCTGTATATTTCGTCGATTATAATAAAAATTCAAATTGATTGCTGTCCGTATACAATGACTCTCCCAAACTACACATTGTATCCTTCGATTCATCAACTTGAACAGCTTTCATTATTGAAACATTTAGATGATCCTTTAGTTTTCTGATTTGGTCAATCATTAAAACATTTAATGGTGAAATAACCAGAACAAATTAATGTTTATCTTGCATGTAAAACATTATTTCTTTCGAGAAATTCTTAAAATTCACTCCTTGCAAAAAAGATGCAGAGTCAGCATTTTTATTAAGTTTACTTCCGGCAAACTACAAGATTTTTGAAGTTCCGGTTTTGGTTTTCGCCAGGGCCTCCGGCAACGCAGTGTCAGCCGTGAGGCCCTGGGACCGAGGATGCTGCGAACCGTATAAGGGCGTATTAGTGCTCAGGCCCCCACAAAAAACAATGCGTTTTAATATACCAATTTGAACTTATGCGAACTTTTGCGAACTGTAGCTTACACGAAGGATTTATCTTAGTGATATTATTGTTAAAACATTCGTTTTACGTCAAGTTTAGACGTACGTAGAAGGATATTAAAGGTTAGATTCAACTTACGTTAACGACTTGCGACTGTTCTTTAATCCTGGATCGCTCGTGTGTTCAGTGTTTATGAGCGAATGAACAATCCAGCACATGTCTTTAATATCACTAAGGAAACGCTAGGAGTTACAATTAATAAAAGGGTTAAATTATTTGAAATGTTTAAAATGCCATGATTTGTACAGTGTATTTATAAGATTACAGTACAATATTGAAAATCTTCCATATTTGTGTACTCAAAGAGATGTTCACTCCAAGGCAGTCAAAGAGTTATTGACACCACGTGTGGAATTCAATCAATTTCTAAAGAAATGAATAATCACAATAATTTTGAATTTGCATAACGAGACTAAATTGTCGGGCTGGCCACGCTACTGATTCTGAGTACACACTGTTCATATTTCGATGACAACTCATCATATTCTCTTTTCAATTCAACATGTTCAGTTGTCAATTTTTATAGCTTGACCCCTATGTTTTAATATCAGCCTTTATACTGCGAGGGACCGATTGTATAAAACTCTTAATCACTTTTTTAATCGACACTGTTTTATAGTTAACTAGTGGTTAATTTTAACAACCTATTTAACTTAACTCCAATCCTGGACAAAACATCTGCGACACTTTCAATTATTTGACAAAACTTCGTAATATCATCGCAAATTTAGAAAACCTCCCCCTTTGTGTCACTTGAAAACATGGGATATTATCACCGTCTTACTGCAGTGCGTTGTGGTTTACCGTTAAGTATGACATTGTGAAAAATTGAGGATTGATTTACCACACCTGGAAAAGTTAATATGTCAAAATGCATAATTTAAATTTATAGTTGTCGCTTAATATTCCAAATATATGCAGTAATACCTGAAATGTAATTATATTGATGTTATTGCCCTTATAGTTCTACTGGCCATATCACATGCACGCATTCATTTATGTATTCACTGATTGTATAACGTGGCAATATATAAGTCGCACAAACTCTTATGCAAATATATTTTTGTGTCGTACATTGTATCTCATGCACTGACCGCTTGCATGTCTGTCTAGGCCCCTTCTTACATGTTCGATTACCTATATATCTATATATATATATATATATATATATATATATATATATATATATATATATATATATATATATATATATATATATATGAGTGGTTTGTATTCTTCTTCAGACATTAAAATTTTAATAAAAAGTTAAAAATATTAAAACCGTCCAAACGTTTCTCCGATTAAGGCTTCTTCAGTGGACTAATTGTGCGAGTAATATTAGGTTCCTTATATACCTAATCACTGACAAATGTTAAAATTAATTATGACTATATATATATATATATATATATATATATATACATATATATATATATATATATATATAGTTCTAGAGTGTGTATTATATATATGTTCTAGAGTGTGTATTATATAATTTCCATACCCAGCGCAAGCAGAAAGATGTTGTCTGCCACAACATCTTTCTGCTTGGCCTGGGTATGGAAATTATATAATACACACTCTAGAACATTTTCATCTTAACATATTACAGAGTGTACAATTACACAACTAACATATATATATATATATATATATATATATATATATATATATATATATATATATATATATAATTAACGTTAATTACATAGCTCTACACTCTTAAAAATAACTGTGTTATATAACCTACTTATTTTGTCCAGAAATTAACACGGGTTATATAACACACTAGTGTGTTAGATAACACACCCTAGGGTGTGTTTTTGGCTTGTCCAAAAATTAACACGCTTTACGTGTGTTATTGAAAAAAGTGTGTTATTTAGCACACAACAGTGGGTTTAAAAACACACAACAGTGTGTTATTGTTAAGTGTGTTATCTAAAAAGGTGTGTTATTTAGCACACAATAGTGGATTGCTAAAACACACCTTTATGTGTGCTAAACAACACACATACAAGTGTTTCTAAACAGAAACACACTTTTAAATGTGTTACAGAATTTTGGATAAAAGAAATGAATATTTTAATACTGAAATTGTGCATACACTTTATTACATGTACTTTAAAATATTTACAAATATGAATGGAAAATATGGAATCGTTAATCACAATGCGGCCTATAGGCTATAATTTATATTATTCATATATTCTGTACTACGCTATGCAAAATTTGCCAAACGTTTGGCCATATTGGTTGAATGGCAGGTCAAGACAAGTGAAGTTTCTTTGGGGGGTTTTGCCACTTATAAGTACAAAGCAAAAGTAACTCTATGCAACTACAGTATATATGTTGTTAATCACTACCTACACTGACACATGCATGCCTTATACACAATTTCTACACTGTCTAAAAATGTGAATATATTATTTATTTATTTAACCTTCAATCACTGTCCGTTCCACATTAGGGGAATCTTTCCTCTGTAAATGTCAAATATAAAGGCATTCAGGGTCATCCACTATTTTCTTGTACTATAAGGTTTGTGTCTGCCAGAGACATATACATGATGTAAGATTGGAGAAAATTTCATAAGTACCAGGATATGATTGTAACGATCTGTGCACATCTATCTAGCAAAGAACACAAAACAGCAAATGTATGAATTAATGTATTAAGAAAAAAACAATGCTTTTAAAAGTACATCCTACACACATGAGACATATATGGACAAGCAGAACATATTTGCAAATATTGAAATGAATCTCGGGTGGATCAAGCTTCACTTGTTAGAGAAGGGGTGGATGTTTTCCAAAGATGAGAGGGGGGGGGGGGTGTTGCATTATTATAGGGCATTCTCCTCCGGAAAAAGTTTGCAATTTGAAGCCATAAATGCCATTTCCTTATTAAATTTGTTCTCAACGATTAAGAAACTAAACCTTAAACTCTCTCTCTTTCAAAAAAGTCGTCTGGTGTCAGACAGAGTCAAATAAAGGGTGCATCAGGGAGCAATGCTAAGGATGTGCAAAGCAACGCTACCTACATGTATAGCCATAACACTAAAAAAATTGTGACAATTCCATAAGGTTTATATTAAATACTCGGCAACCCTACATTATTATTTAATCTGCCTACTGCAAAATGATTTTACAGGTATTTGTCAAGGGAAGATTTTTGTCCATTAATGGGTTAACCTTAGCACCTGCTAGTGTATTTGGTAACTTCGGTTAGCCCTTGAAGTATTTAAGTAGCATTGTAGCCATTCATTGTTATTTTACTCCACAAGAAGAGACTGCTGGAAGACTGGAACTTGATTTGGCATTGTACTACATGTAAGTGCACCCTACTTGTTATTTTACATGTACCCTATCTTAAACCAAATCATCTCAAACCAAATCAAGGGTGAGTGTTGACAATTAATGGGTTGATGTGTCAAATGAGCCATCCATCTAGAGAGAAGTGGCATAAATTTGGTTCAACAGTAAATTCAACCGATAAACAACTCCCAAAAAATTAAAATAAGTAGAGAAAATTCAGCTTGTAAGGGGCAAGCATATATCGACAATAGTGAGTGACACATTGACCCTTCAAGTGGCAATGCGCCCTACTTTACTATTTTACTCTGTCTAACGCCACATTATTTTACCCTGTCTAACGCCAGATAATTTTACTCGTCAGGAGGGGAGTGCTGCCACTCAATGTGCCATCTCACCTTAACACTACATGTAGCAATTAATCTACTTGACTACTTCAAAAGCAGTATTTAACAGGAAAGTGAGTGACACATCAACAAATAATTAATCACTGGTACAGACATACAGTTTAATTGCATTTTGCCATTGAAAAATCATTTCAAGAAAGAAAAATTACTTAATCAGATAAGAGATGTGCCATCTCACCTTAACAATCCTTGTAGCAATTAATCAACTTCAAACAGAGTAGGCCTACATTATCTAAGAGGGAAGCCATTGAGCCAGAGTTCCTTAGCTATATAATTAATCAGTGGTGCAGTCAAATTGCATTTTGCCATTGAAAAATCATATCGATACATCGCCATTTCCAGAAAGAAAAATTACTTCATTATAGTGTTACCTGTGTCAGGTGGGTCATTTGTCCAGGATGGATTTAAGAGATGTGCCATCTCACCTTAACACTACCTGTATTCTAAAAGCTTATTCACATTCAATGAGTGGCTCAGGTTTAATCTGAGCTTCTCTTGAGGGTCAATGCTGTTTTTGAATAGGGTGAGACGGTGAGTAGTTACATAGTAAGGTATGACACTAGCCCTCCAGCTTTTTAAAAACGGCAATGACACTTGACAGAAGCTTATGTTGAATCTCCACTCATTGAGTGTGAGTGAGCTCTTAGAATATTGGCGATAGTGTTAAGGTGAGATGGCACATCCGTCCCGGACAAATGACCAATTTGACACAGGTTACACCATATACTGTAGCAAAGTAATTTTTCTTTCTTGAAATGATGATGTATTGATATGATTTTTCAATGACAAAATGCAATTGGATTGCACCAATGATTAATTATATAGCTAAGAAACACTGGCTCAATGGCTTCCCTGTTAGATAATCACGCCGGGTCAGTTGTTCTCACAAATCGGCTATCTGATGTAAACTTTTTCAATATATTTCGGATGGACATGAAACTTGCTACATCAATATAACTTTCCATTCCGAACAATCGTATGTTTTTTATTTTTGAGATTTAACGGTTTTTGGCGGGAAAATGACGTCACAAAACCTCCAGTTAAAATTTACTTTCAATATCTTAATAGTTTTGTCGCAGAATTTGGAAGAACATGTCATGAACAGTTCAAAACTGAAAACGGATTTTAAATATCTAAATCTAATCCAAAGTTATTTCACCATAAAAACCATGAAAAATCTAAAAATAGTAACAAAATGGCGGAAAATTCGATTCTAAACTCCCTGTATCTCGTGATTAGATTAAGATATTTAAAATCTGTTTTCAGTTTTGAACTCTTCATGACATGATCTTTCACATTCTGCTTAAAAACTATTAAGATATTGAAAATAAATTTTAACTGGAGGTTTCGTGATGTCATTTTCCCGCAAAAACCGTTAAATCTCAAAAATAAAAAACATACGATTGTTCGGAATGGAACGTTATATTCATGTAGCAAGTTTCATGTCCATCCGAAATATATTAAAAAAGTTTGATTAGATGGCCGATTTGTGAGAACAGCTGACCCGGCGTGAATTTATCAGTACCTTCCCTGTTAGATTAATTGCTACATGGAGTGTTAAGCTGAGATGGCATATCTTTTATCCATCCTGGACACAGTAGAAATAACAGTAGAATATGGGCGTACAATTAATCTGCTTCAAAGTGAGTATGTACAGTATCTAACAGGGAAACCATTGAGCATGTGTTACCTTAAAAGGGTCCTACAGTCATTTTTTAGTTAAAAAGCCACCTTAAGTGGCGGACTCCACAGAGATTCGTTTGGCTGTATCTTACATGCAGTATCCATGAGTATGAGTACTTCCGCATACCGGAAGATGCATGCATGCTGTGATGCGCATGTCAAGAAGCGACAATAACAAAAAATGTAAACAATGGCTTTTCAACTAAAAAAAATTGTAGGGCCCCTTTAACTTAATATAATTAGTCACTGGTACAATCCAATTGCATTTTGCCATTGAAAAACCATATCGATACATTGCCATTTCAAGAAAGAAAAATTACTTCACCCCTGTCGAATGGTCTATTTGTCCAGGACGGATAAGAGATCACCTTAACACTAGATGTAGCAATTATTCTACTTCAAAATGAGATTCTATCAGGTGTTGCAATAAACATTTTATTAATTTTGCTTTATCTTTTGACATGGTTGAGAAATAGAATTATGTTTTGCAATTTTATAATGTGAATATTATATAATAATCCATATTAATACTTAGGACTCTCCCATTGGCCATTGATAGGTAAAATTACCTCATAAGATCCCTTTGGCAAATAAAATCAAGATTGTCTGGCGTTAGACAGAAGAAAACAATAAAATAAGCTATATTTGGGGACATTGCAGCTTAATGTTTAAAAATGAAATATAAAATTAGAGTTGGCAAAAAATATTCATGAAGCACCAGCTCAGGTCCAGCTGTGTAGTGTATACTGTATATCTTCTTACACACAGAGTATCATAAATAAAAGAAATTCCACCGTTCAGTAATCAATATAAAAACACTACCATTTGCCATTGAATCAATTGAAATTTAATGAATAAAATATTGTTGTCTGTATTGTTGTGCGTAGTGAATGCACAAAATCATCCATTCCTATATGTGTATATGTATATGTATATGATATAGTTGAGGTGTTGGGCATTGAACAGTTATTTTCGATTTTTCAGCTCAGGTTCTAAAATATTTGTCTTTATATAATTGAAAGGAAAACAGTAAACGCAAGATAAATCAGACAAAGGTACTTGTAAATAAAAACGCGCGCAAGTTTTCTTAACTGAGAGTCTGAGACTGCAAATTGATAATGCAGAGAATAGCCTCAGCCGATCAATATTAAAGCAGTCATATCATATTGTAATCGCAGACAACAATCATTACATTATAATTCTCGCATTATATTGTAATAACTCACCTTATTCCTTTCGACGTATTACATCCTTGAAGTTACAGGCGAACTAGTTCTAACCACCTCTTCTATTTCTCTGTCAAGGCGGAATTCTTAGTATATTGACGCTGTGAACCACACGTTTTGAATTGCATCATTTGGCGGCGAGCCGTTGTCATTCAAATACAAACTGCAACCATGCTCGTCCCTTCCTCACTCTGTTTTAAAGCCATCTTCATGATTGAAATATGAAAATACTAGAGCCATTTTAGTCCGTTTGTATAAATTCCATCGCACTGACACTTGAAAAGAAGCCACTTGCACCACAAATACACATGTATGTAATAATATTCTCATACAAACGACCACAAACCGCAGTTACTAATGCTACTATCAATTGCAAGAAGAAGGTATTAGATTTCACGACAGCACTATCCTCATTGGTTGAAACTTGAAAGCTCAATCATGCGGCGCGCGAATATTCAAATATTTCGGCTTCATGGTGTGTTATAGTGTGTGCAAGCAATCGAAATTGGAGCTCAAATTATTGCATTTCAAATACTACAAGACGCTACGCAATAGCTGACCACAGTGTGTTCAGCTATTGCGTAGCGTTTTGTAGTATTTGAAATGCAATAATTTGAGCTCCAATTTCGATTGCTTGCGCAGCTCGCATACTTTTAACTTTCCAGTTTCCAATCTGTATGAAATGCATAACACACGTTACACATGGGAACTATTTCTGTTATTATGTCCAGTAACCACTTGTTAATTCAAATGTTTCCTTTGTGAAATGGTTTATAATCAGCCAGTAAATAATATTAGACTGTTTCAGTATTAATAAAGACTATGTCAAGTCCGTTCAGGTCATATAAAGAAAGCCCACAGATATAAAAATTGCTCAATTTTTGCATCTTGACTTTGGAACTTTTTTGAATTGAAATGTACTCATTTGCAATTGCGAACCCAGAAAAGTGTTAGCTATTCAGTTGGTCTTATTTTACAAATATAGCGAGCCATCTAGCCTGCGATTAGGCTTGCTACTATAAAGCGTGTTTTATAAAAGTGTGTTAGTCTAAGATGTGTGTTTTGTAAAGGTGTGTTTGTTGGTTAAGTGAGTTTATTCTGTGCAGTGTGTTTTTCTATTAAAGTGTTTTTATCTTTAAACTTGGGTTAATTAACACACTTTTCATATCAAGGGTGTGCTAACTAACACGGTACAAAAAGTGTGTTTTTCTGAAAGTGTGTTATGTAACACATTCACCCTCATCGCAGTGTGTTATGCACTGAAACTGTGTGTTATATAACGCACATGTGTGTGTTATTTAACTCACAAAGGTGTGTTATGTCGAAATCGCATGAGTAAAATGTGTTGTATAACACACTTAACGTGCTATATAACACATTTTTGTGTGTTTTGCAACACACCTATTTTTAAGAGTGTGAATATAAACGAGCCAAAGACAATTTCAAGGCCGAAAGGTTATAACTTAAACTACACAACGGTAGTTTTAATAGATTTAGATTCTTGCACTCACTTGGTCGAATTAATATTAGAATGTTAGGGTTTGGAATCCAAGTGAGAATATATACATTTTAAGACCTAACCAGGAACGACTGCGAAAAATGCAGCACAAGGTCCTCTGGTAGGAATTGAACCTACGGCCCTGCGATTCCGCTGCATGACCGGAAGATAGATAACTACTTTATGAGAAGCATATTGGTGTCATATCAATATAAAATTTATCAGTCCAACAATAGTCCCTAGTTAGCTGTAGTCTCATAGTTAGCTGTGGAAACGCGAAAACTGTAGTGTGAAATATGAAATATTATTAGAGACCTTTAGCTTGACGTTTACGGCAAACGTCAAACTGCTAGCGAAGTTTTGATTTTACAACTCTATTATAATAGCTTTTACACCAGTTTTGAAATATGTTAAACAATTATTAAACTTGTGCTCTTTAGGAATGATTTAAGAAAGCAAATTAACCACTAGTCATGTATTCACCAAAGCAGTAAATTAAGATTTGTCGTTTGTAGTCGTTCAAGCATGAAATTTATACGCCAAACGTAAACTTCAAACGCGAAATTTTAATTTACTGCTTTGGTGAATACATGACTAGTGGTTAATTTGCTTTCTTAAATCATTTCTAAAGAGCACAAGTTTAATAATTGTTTAACATATTTCAAAACTGGTGTAAAAGCTATTATAATAGAGTTGTAAAATCAAAAATTTCGCTAGCGGTTTGACGTTTGCCGTAAACGTCAATCTTAAGGTAGTCGTTAAAGCATGAAATTATGGCGCAATAAGGATAAAATACCACGGTTCGATTCAGCGTAAGAAATTGTGCTTACGGATGTCTGAAGTATTACTAAACAACAGTATTCTAGCGATTTATGGCCTTTGAAAATCAAGCGAAATTGTCTTGTTGACAAATTTAAATCGCTCGCAGTACGTATTGTTGACAAATCACTCGCACTATACGTTTGTCTTTGTATTTAATTGTAATGCCTAATGGCGCAACGAGGATAAAAGTACCACCGTTCGATTCAGCGTAAGAAATTGTACTTATGCATGTCAAATGTATTACTAAACAACATATTCTAGCGATTTATGGCCTGTGTCTTTGAAAGCCAAGCGAAATTGTATTGTTGACAAATCGCTCAAAATTATTAATACTATTTATAAAAAATGCAGTATGTTTGATCCTTGTCCTTGATAAGGCCAAATCTTTGAATAAACAAGACGCTCTATGGAGCATTAACTCGCTGGGGCTATACAAATACGCACATTACAGTATATGATACCAGGTACAGTACACAGCTATTTCAATTAAGATCTAAGCCTGGCCCCGAGCTAAGCGGAAAAGTCGAATACGAATGCGAAAGCTTAACACACTAAAATGCGGTACCCTACAAATAAAACTTCCGGCGTTTATGCCCACAAGTAAAGGGGAAAGTACAAAACATGGACCCCCGGTCCATGGACCCCTTGTCTGGACTGGGTCCATGGACCCCCTCTATGGACCGGGTCCTTGGACCCCCCCCCCCCCCCCCCATGGGCCGCAAATTTCAATATTACTGTTAAACATGATTCGAGTTTTCAATTTTTAAAAATAGTTTAGTAGTTTTAAAGCATACTTTTGTTCTTAGCAGCAAACTTCATCTACACTCCAGTGTTTTCTTCATACTAAAGCGAGGTTTGCTAACGACATATCATGACAAATCAATGCACCATGTAAATAATAATAGTGTTACTGACTTGCAAAGCCGGTCAATCAGGGACGAAACTTGAAGGGTGTGTGTGGGGGGGGGGGGGACAC